GGAGGAAAAGGAGGAGGAGGAGGAGGAGGAGGAGGATAAGGATGCGGAGGCGGAAGCGGAGGCGGAGGCAGAGGCGGGGGTGGAGGCGGAGGCGGAGGCGGAGGCGGAGGCGGAGGCGAAGGCGGAGGCGGAGGCGGAGGAGGAGGAGGAGGAGGCGGAGGCGGAGGCGAAGGCGGAGGCGGAAGCAAATTCGGAGGCGGAGGCGGCGGGGGAGGCTGAGGCGGAGGCGGAGGCGGAGGCGGAGGCGGAGGCGGAGGCGGAAGCAGGGGCGGAGGTGGAGGCGGAGGCGGATGCGGAAGCGGAGGCGGAGGCGAAGGCGGAGGAGGAGGAGGAGGAGGAGGAGGAGGAGGAGGAGGAGGAGGCGGATGCGGACGCGGAGGCGGAGGCGGAGGCGGAGGCGGAGGCGGATGGGGAGGCGGAGGCGGAGGCACAGGCGGGGGTGGAGACGGAACCGGAGGCGGAGGCGGAGGCGGAGGCGGAGGCGGAGGCGGAGGCGGAAGCGGAGGCGGAGGATGAGGAACAGGAGGAGGAGGAAGAGGAGGAAGAGGAGGAAAAGGATGAGGAAGAGGAGGATTGGCAATACTATTATTCGATTTGAACACTACGAGGTACGTATGCTAACCAAGATCTGTTAACAGTTCTTAGTTTAGCAATACTATGGCTAATAATTCTTGTACCGACCATAAGAACACTAACATTTCGAAACAGCATAATACTAGTAATAATGATAATGCTACGAATCATGATGCTACTGCTACGAATAACGATTTGAAGCGTATGAATTAGCAGACTATGAATCATAATAATATTAATAATATTACTTATACTAGTAATACAATTAATACAAATAATAATGGTACTGATACTACTAATACGACGGCTACTACTACTACTACTACTACTACTACTACTACTACTACCTACTACTACTACGACTAAGACTACGATTAATAATACGAGAAATACGAATACTGATACTACTATTAATGCTACTAATAATTATGATGATACTAGTGACACTAATGATACTAATACTAAAAGTACCAATCGTAATAATGATGATAATAATACGAGTAACAATGATAGTACTAATAATCCTAATCGATCGAATACTATTCATACGTACTATTAATAATAGTGCTTCTACTACTACTAATAATACTATTATTAATAATACGTATACTAATACAAAGTCATAGCAATACGTATTAATAATACTAACTACTAAGAGTCTAAGTACCGATAATAATAAGTACTAGTAGGGTTAAACCTCTCCTTCGTGTCTACTAAGAATGAATGGGTAAGGGTAAGGGTAAGGGTTCGGGTTCGGGTTCGGGTTCGGGTTCGGTTCCACACAATCAGTTTAAACCACATAGACTAACATAGAATAGTCGGAATTTAATCGTACACGAAGCAGGAGTTCGGAAACCCACAATTTCGCCATTCGCTGATAGGAAAACAATACAGGGGCTATAGAGCTAATAGTACACGAAGATGAGGTTCGGAAGCCCACTGATTCTAATAGTACACGAAGAAGGGGTTCGGAAACTCACAATTTCGCCGTTCGCTCGTAAGAAAACAATACAGGGGCTATAGAGCCAATAGTACACGAAGGTGAGGTTCGCAAACCCATTGTAAAAAACGAGAAAACAGCGTTCCTCGTGCTCGTCCTCGTCCTCCTCCTCCTCCTCCTCCTCCTCCTCCTCCTCCTCCTCCTCCCTCGTCCCCCTCGTCCCCCTCCTCCTCCTCCTCCTCCTCCTCCTCCTCCTCCTCCTCCTCCTCCTAACCATCACGAACCAGAAACGAATAAAACCATAATGCCTTCCCGAATAAAGCCAGAACGACGTCCTTATGAAAACCCACTCTCAAGTGGACCAGAGGGCCACGATCCTCGTGAGGGGTGTTCCGGCATTGGGCGTCGGTGGGCCGTCGGCAGCGCTCCACATTGGGTCAGGGCCACGATCCATGTGAGAGGTGTGCCGAACTTCAGCGTCGGGCGGCGATCCAAATGTGGCGAGGTCTACGATCCGTGTGAGGGGTGCACCGATATTGCTCATCGGTGGGCCGTCGGCAGCGCTCCCAGGTGGGCCAGGACACGATCCTCGTGAGTGGCGTGCCGGAATTGGACGTCGGTGGGCCTTCGGCAGCGCTCCCACTTGGACCAGGGCCACGATCCTAGTGAAGTGCGCGCCGGAATCGCGCGTCGGAGGGCCAGGCCCACGATCCTCGAGAGGGTTGTGCCGAAACGAAGCGGCTGGCAGTGGCGGTTGCTCCAAATCCGACGTCGACACGAAGGACAGGTGTAAAACTGTCGTTTTTTGTTCGCTTCTAATACGAATACAATCTACAGCCTCTACAGCGAATAGTGCACGAAGGTAGGCATTGGCGCGAAAGACACGAAGGCCAGGTTTGAAACTAATGTTTTCGTAATTCCCCTGGTAGGAGTTCTATTAGGCCTGATACACAAGAAGAGTACACGAAGGTGAGGTTTGTAGCGACACGAGGACCAGGTGCAACCCTACTAGTAACAGTACTAATAATACTAAGTACGAATAATCTAATAATACAGAGTACTATTAATCACAGTCTAATTACAATAAGTGATAATAGTACGTATTACTAATAAGTAATAATAACAACTAATAGCTATCGACTAATAAGAAGTACGAATGATACTTACTAATGCTACTAGTACTAATACTAATATCTACTAATCATAATCGTACTACGAATAATACTACTAAACCTAGTTCGACCAATCATAATAATGATAGTACTAGTAATAAGAATAGTAATATTACTAAGAATACTCATGTTAACATTAATGGTAAGACTAATAATGATGCTTTTATTCGTATTAGTTGTAATATGATGAGTTATACTAATACAACGAAGACACATACTACTACACATCGTGCTAATACTAAGAATATGAAGAATACTATTAATACTAATAATGAGAAGAAGAGGAGGAGGAGGAGGAGGAGGAGGACGATGAGGAGGAGGAGTAGCAGGACGAGAAGGAGGTGAAGGAGGAGGAGGAGGAGTTGGAGGAGGAGGAGGAGGAGGAAGGAGGAGGAGGAGGAGGAGGAGGAGCAGGAGGAGGAGGAGGAGTTGGAGGAGGAGGAGGAGGAGGAGGAGGAAGAGGATACGGAGGAGGAGGAGGAGGAGGAGGACGACGAAGAGGAGTTGGAGGAGGAGGGCGAGGTTTCCCCGGCCCGCGCGGTCCTCTCGCAGGCGATTTTCTTGCGAGACCCCCTCCGCGAGGTGTGAGCAAGAATCATGGCCTCTCGGGGCCCTTACGGGGCCGCGGGGCCCGCAAAAACAAATCCAGGAGGAGAAACCAGTCCCGGGGAACGGGGTCCAGACTTCTGGGGGCCGCCAGAGGTGTCCCTAGCCACAGAGGGCCCCCCCTCGTCTTGAGCCCTGGGGCCAAAGATGCCTCCTCCAAGGAGCCCCAAGAGGGGCCAAGGCCCCCCAAACGGGCCCCAAGAGGGCCCCAAGGGGGCCCCGAGAGGCCCCATGGGGACCCCAAGGGAGTCCCTAAGTAGTCCCTACTCGTTCGTCAAGTCCACTCGTACTTCTCTGGGGCCGCCAGAGGTGTCCCTGGCCCGCACGGTCCTCAGCTCTTCCCCCCCAGAGATCCGGCGCTCCCAAGCAAAGATGGAACCGCGGGATTTTTGCGGTTTTCGGCCTCTGGGGGCCCGCACTGGGCCTCGGGAGCGTCAAACCGCGACTCGGGAAGAGAAACCAGGCCTGGGGAAGTGGTCCGGACCTTGGGGCCCACGCGTCGAGGTGTCCTTGGCCTGTGCTGTCTTCTCGCAGGCGATTTTTTGCCCCCAACCCCAGGGTTCCACACGAAAAGTTAGACCGCTCAGACGAAGGCGGGAACCTTGGGATACACCCCAAGGGGGCTATTCGGACGCACCCATGTCTGAGATGGGCGCCCCCCCATCGTGTATCCCAGGGTTGGGCCCCAAATTTATGGTCCATGCGAACACCTCACCGAGCCTGGGACAGGGGTCAGTATATCCCCTGTTATCAGTTTTTCCTCCCACATCAGAGAGCCCGCCGAGGCCCCCGCTTGCAAAAGAGCCCTATCCCTGCCAACACGATGAAGACGTGATCTCACTTCGGCCCCGTTTTCGCATTAGGGTAAACAAGTCTGGGCGGTCTGGTCCGATACATCTGCCGAAGAGACCCCCTATCCTTGATGCTCTTGGCCCTCCTGACTTAGGGACGCTCCCAAAGGGTTTTACTGCTTCTCACTCGGAGCCCCGAGTCATCAGGGCTTGGTGCGGTCAGGGGTAACTACAGAGTCGCGCCTCCGGGGCCCAAACCGTAATTAACACTGGACCGCAGGTATCTCGCATACCACTGGCGTCAAACCCTCCCGAATCATCCTGGCTGGGGGCAGTCAAGGGTAACTACAGATTCGCGCCTCGGAGGCCAGCCGGAGTTAACCCCGGACTGCAGTTATTCCTGGATAATTCGGGCGTCCAACCCTCCCGAATCATCAGGGCTGGGGGCAGTCAGCCAGATCCATGAGGATACATTTCCGGCGTTGTCGTATCCGCTGGCATGTTGGAGGCACGCACGGGTACGCACAGCGCCGCACTATCCGCAGCCTTCTGGCGGCTCGCTCGCACCCGAGCAGCGTGCACAGGGGTTCGTGTCGACCTGCAACCGTCGGCGGTGCTGGCCACGAAAAACCTATCGCTGAGATCCCCTCCTGCCTGCACCATTCTTTTCCCGGACAATTCGGGCATCCAGTATCCCCAGACCCCCGACGTCATGTTTTTTTGTTTGTTTTTTCATGACGCGATCCCCAGAGGTTTGGCCCCGTTCCCCAGGACCGGTTTTTCATCCTGAGCCGTTTTTTGATTGCCCTGAGGCCTTGTAAGGGCCCCAAGAAGCCCGAAATACCAAAAAGCCTCCCGTCGTCATTCGTTCATGACCCGAGGGTGTCAGGGTCACTGGGCCAGGGACACCACCAGCAGCGCCCGATGCTTCGCGCCGGGCCGGCTGCCGAACGCCTCCTGGCTGACGGCGGGGGCTTGGCTAGGCGCCGCGCAGCGCTGCGGCGGCGGGGGCAGCCTCTGCGCCCCCGCGGAGTGGTGGCCGCCAGGGGCGGGGTCGTGGGAGGACGTCGGGGCTCGTTTTTTTGTAGCAAGTAATTCCGAGGCGGGAATTCAAACATTGCCACCGCCCGGAGGATCAATTTTCTGGGACCTCGGCAGGCGGTGAATGTGGACATATTCGGGGCACCAGGACGTCGGTTCCCAGGCGGTGGATATGGATAAATCCCCGCCTCGCCAATAATGGTTGCCTTGTCCAACTTCGTAATTCCGTTTTTGGATTGCACCAGCGTCGATTAGATTAGCATCGAATTGGCGTCGATTTGGCGTCGATTAGGGTCGAGCAGCGTCGATTCGCAAGAGCCAGCAGGGTGGCATGGGAGGCTCCCGTGAGTTGCCACAGAAGGGGGTCAGCCCAGACATCCCAACATAGCTCTCTCTAGAGGGGGCCTGCGGCAGAGGGCGAAATCCTCCTCTGCCGCTGGCCCCCTCGACCCTAGATCCTCGACCTTCCTCCTCTTACCTCCTCACCAGACATCCCCTGGGGTTCAATGGGTAGCGTGTCGTAACCTAGGGTTTTCAAGCCCTCGTAGGTTGTGGGCGGGCTGGAGGCCCGAAAGCGCGGCCGTTAGGTCGGTCCTAGAGCAGTCTTAGTTGCAGTCTGATTCACTATCTGCCCCCATAGGTGTCGGTCGGTCCCCAGACATGCGGCCGCTGCAATTCTTTCGATGCTTGGGCCCCAGAGGTCCGGATCGTTTCCCCGGGGCCGGTGTTTCGTCTCGAGTCGTTTTTGACGCTCCCGAGGCCTGGCGTGGACCCCGGGATTAAGTCGGGCATGTCTCTACAGGAGGAATGTTCAAAAATAGTCAAAGAATAGTCAGAGGAGGTTCTTCGGGCGATCGAGACGCATCTGATGCCAAGGGTGCTAGAGAAAATATGAAATAGTCAAAAAATAGTCTGGGACGATTTGTTTTGACTATTTTTGAATGCTTTTTGATTTTTTGACCTAGGGGGACATGTCCGACCTAACTCTGGGACTGCAGGCGGGGGCTGGCCAGGGCGCAAGACCTTTCAGGATCTTGCAGGGCCAGGGGTGCACTGACCCAGGCAGGATGCTGCAGGATCCTGCAACGCCCGAGGGACCCGGGTCTGGAATGGCCCGGGTCCGTAGATCTCGGTGGCGGCAAAGAGGGGGGTGATGACAAGGTAGGTGCGCTCGCGTCAACATCTGACATCCTACCCCTCCCTCCCATCCCATACCATGGCGCTGATTTTCTCTATCCGCAGACGCGTGTCGTAGCGGACCTGTGGCTCCGCGCGCGTGTGCGTAGTGGGTGGTGGTGCGCGTGCGTGCGTGCGTGTGTGCGTGGTTGTGGTTGTTGTGGTGGTGGTGTGTATGTGTGTGTGTGTGCGTGTGTGCGCGTGTGCTGTGGTGTGACGTGGTGTGGCGTCTTGGTGGTTTGGTGGTGGGCCAGGTGCGTACGTGCGTGATGGCGGTGGTGGTGGTGGCGGTGTGTGTGTGTGTGTGTGTGTGTGCGTGTGTGTGTGTGTGTGTGTGTGTGTGTGTGTGTGTGTGTGTGTGTGTGTGTGTGTGTGTGTGTGTGCGTGCGTGCGTGCGTGCGTGCGTGCGTGCGTGCGTGCGTGCGTGCGTGTGTGTCTGTGTGTGCGCGCGTGTGATGTGGTGTGACGCGGTGTAGCGTGGTGGTGGTGGGTGGGGTAGTGCGGTGGTGGTGGCGGTGCGCGGTGGTGATGCGCGTGCGTGCGTGCGTGCGTTGGTGGGTGGAAGTGGCGGTGGGTGTGCGTGCGGCGGGGCGGGGCGTGGTGCGGCGCGGTGGTGGCGGGCGGATGGGCGCGCGAGAAAGAGGCCCGCGTTGGGGCGAGAACGCCATCCTGAACGACGGAGGCAAAACACCGATCCGAAAATGAGGCTCACGCTCCAGCGGGAACACTATTCGGAACGAGTCGGGAGCAGAAATGAGGCCGGCGCCTCAGCGAGAGCAGCATTTTGAAAAAAACGCAGGCGAAAACCCAACTCCCGGGAATCCTGTGTGTTAAAAAACAGTGCGCGGGGGGGGTCGAGTATTCCCAGCACGCCATCAGGGGAAGAGGGAAAGTAGTATTCATATTGAGTAATTGTCTTGGGGGGGGATACCACGGCGTGGGCCGCGATTTTTTCCCAGATTTCATGGCGTCTCTTCTCATTTGAGTGTGCCCCTAGCCCCCTTTTGGGCGCGCACGTGCCGCCAGTCATGATTTTGCACCCCGCCCCCCTTGAACGCCCCCCCCTTGGCCGCCCCCGAAGATCCCCAGAGGACGACTCCGACGTGTGGCTGGTGCGCGGCGGCGCTGGCGTGGCCGGTAAGGGCGGTGGCCGGCTGGTGGCGCTCTCGCACGGGCTCATGGACCGCGCGAGGGGGGAGGATCCGAGGAGGGAAAGGTACTGACGATGCCGCTCGGTGGCGAGCGAGGGGGGGAAGTGAGAAGGAGGAGGCCCTCTCGGAAGGAGGGGCGCGACTTCTCAGAAGCCTTCGCGCCTTCTGAGAGGTATTCTGAGTCTCTTCGGGGAAAGCATAGAACACTACTCAGCAGGCCAGGGGGCTTCCGAGCCTTCTGAGAAGGCCCGCCCCTTCTCTCTTCCCCCTTGGGCGCGCCGCCTAACTACCATTCCCCCGTTTGCCCCTGTTTGGGCCCTCCTGGGAGGCCCTCGTCGCCACCGATGGATTCGAATGGGAATTCTGGTCAGAACGCCGGGGGAGGTCCAGGGAGTAGCGGTATCGGTGCCTAGTTGTATTCCCCCAGAGGAGTATGAGCCGACCGCGGTGGCCCAGAGCTTGGGCGTCCCCGACTGCTTTGCGTGCCACCAGGCGCGCGACGTAAAAATCGGGGTCGTCTGCGCCGACATTGGCGCGTAAACTGCCCGCGTAAGGTCGCGCGTAAGCGCCCTCGCTTCCAGCTTAACGTGCCGCGCTGGCGGCCCGCATAATCTGCGACGTGAGGTTGCTGTGCCATCTCGCGTAAGACCCGTTTTCGATCGTCGCTCAGGTGCCCCTCCAGGGGGACGAGGACTTCGAGCTCTTTCTGGCCCCGGTGGACGTCATCGGCCCCTGTCGGGAGCTGTTCAGCAACCTGCTTCTGGACGCCCTGGAAGCCCTTCAGCTCGCCTCCTTCCAGGGCCCGCGGGCGACGCTGGTAGAGCCGATGATCGCGAATGCGGTCTGGAAGCGGTTCAACCAAGAGCAGGCTGCACAGCATTCCAGGCGGGCGGAGGAGCAGGGCTGGACGACCTCGATCTACTCTTTCTGGAACGCAGAGACGGCGTGCGGCCTTCGCCATGGCAGCCCGACGAGATTCGGCGACATGTTCGACTGGCCAGCGCTTTCTGAGTGGCTGCGCTCCGCGCGCGGGATTCGTGGGACGACAACCTGGCGAGAGTTCCAGGCTCGGACGGGCCAGGCACTGGACGCCGTCGCGATGCTCTCGGGCCACCCGGGGGACCCCCTCGGCGAGAAGCTCCCTTGCGCGGATGCCGACGGCCCGACGGTGATGCGCTTCTTCGACGCGGACTTCGCTGTCGCGCGCCGGGTGTGCGTGCAGAGCACCTCCCGGCAGCACGAGGGGGGCTTCAACCTGCGGTTCCTCGACATGCCCCGCCTCGCCGACGCGGTGCGGGGCGCCGTGGCTCGTGCCCGCCGAGAGGTGATGGGCAAATCTTCCACCGCCGCTACTATATGTAGGACGGGGGACAAGGGAGGATGAGGAGGTCCTCCTCCTCCCCCTCCTCCTCCTACTCCTACTCCTCCTCCTCCTCCTCCTCCTCCTCCTCCTCCCTCTCCTACATATGACAGTGGTGGTGGAAAGCGGGCCCAGCGAGAGGGGCGGCGCTGGGCCGCCGTGGGCCTCTACCTCTACTGGGTCGAGGGCGCCGAGCGGGCCCGGCTGCACCCCGCCCGCTACGGCAAGCTCAGCACCCACAGTCTGCACATGTCGATCTTCCGCGGGCTGCACTTCTTGCGGGGCCCAAAGATGTAGATGCACTACCACCGCCTCCCTCGCCCGCGCGCTCCCTCTCCCAGGAAGGAGGAGAGGAGGAGGAGGGGATGAGGAGGAGGGTAGAGGAGGGATGGGGGAGGTGGAGGAGGAGGAGGAGGAGGAGGAAGAGGAGGAGGTGGTGGTGCATATCCTTGTGGCCCGCAGCTTCGCCCCCGCGATAGAGCGCCGGGCGGCGGTGGTGATGTCGCGCCTGGGCCTGCGGGGGCAGCCCTTCTTGGCGGTGCACTGGCGCCGCGGCGACTGGTTCCTGGGGCCGCACCCGCGCAAGCTGGAGCCCCGGGTCACTTAGTCGTCGTCGTCGTCATCGTCGTCGTTCTGATCTTCTTCCCTCTAGATCCAGGCGTTGCAAAAAGATGTGCGACGACAGGTTTTCAGCGTTTCTGGCATCTTGATGTCGTTTCCCTGGCCTGGATTAACCCAAGAATCTTCATCCCCCCGCCTCGAGCATTCCTTGTAGCAAGTTACAGAATCTTCACGGGTTGGCGGCGGGTCGTATTGTGGTTTTTGGTTCAGCGCCGCGAACATACGAACAAGAATTGCAAGAGTTTCGCACATTGAGGGCGGGCCGTTTTCAAAATGCGGCTCTTGCCTTAGCGCCCCACGCATTCGTTTCTTACATTTGCAAAAGGTCCATGGATTCCCATGGTCAGCGTGCCAGGAATGGTGGTTGGGACTAGTTCAAATTTGTAATGGCGCAGCTTTTCCGTTGATTCGCGGTGTTGACGTGTCGGGAATAGTGTTCTGGGGCGACTCCGGATCGTAAGGACGCAACAGTCAGGTTGATTCGTGGTGCTGGGTTTTCGAGGATGAGTTTCGTTCTGACTTGCTTCAGGGTCTTCAAACGGTTGTCTCCCAACGAGGGAACGAGCCTTTGTAGGGCCCTGCGGGGAAGGAGTTTGGGGGAGTTGGTGTGCCGAAATGGTGGAGGGGACACATGTGGACCAGGTCTTTGGGGCCTTCGTTGGAGCTCCTGATGGGGCCACGGAACGTGTGAGGGGTGTGCCGGAATGGGTGGCAGCACCGCTTGCGAACTGCGCCAGTCGGACTTTCGGTGGAGCTCCCTATGGGGCCACGAAACGTGTGAGTGGTGTGCCGAAGTGCGATGCGGGACCGCGTGCGAACGTCGCCATTGGGGCCTTCGATGGAGCTCCCTATGGGGCCACGAAGGGTATGAGGGTTGTGCCGAAGTCGGTCGTGTCGACGCATGCGAACTCACCGCGGAAGCCCCCGGTGCAGCTCCCTGTGGGGCCACGAAGCGTGTGAGGGGTGTGCCGAAACAAGTTGGGCGGGCGCATGCGAACTCACCACGGAAGCCCATGGTGGAGTTCCCAATGGGGCCACGAAGCGTGCCGAAATGGGTCGGGCGGGCGCATGCGAATTCACCACGGAGGCCCTCGGCGGAGCTCCTTATTGGGCCACGAAGCGTGTGAGGGGCGTGCCGAAATGGGTCGGGTGGATGCATGCGAACGCACCACGGATGCACTCGGTGGGGCTCCATGTGCGGCCACGTCGCGTGTGAGGGGCGTGCCGAAGCGGTGCCAGAAGGTTTGTGCGGAGGGCAAAGGCAGGAGGTGATGTGACGCGGGGCGCTGTCTCTTCAAAGCGAGAATCCAACACCACAGGATGGTTGGGAAGCGCATTCGGGCCCAGGGTTGCGAACCTGGTGGATTTATTATAAACAAACGGGCCCACGGCATGGCGCGTGGCTGAGCGCCGTCGTGCCCCCAACGGCCTTCGAGGAGGAGGAAGAAGGAGGGTGCAAGGAGGATCGAGGAGGAGGAAGAGGCGAAGGAGGCGGAGGAGGAGCAGGAGGAGGAGGAAGAGGCGGAGGAGGAGGCGGAGGAGGCGGAGGAAGAGGATGAGGAGGAGGAGGAGGAGGAGGAAGAGGAGGAGGAAGAGGAGGATGAGGAGGATGAGGAGGAGAGGGAACCAGCGTCGGAGCGCGGCGCCGCCTCTCCCCCGCCTCAGCAGCGACAGACGGACGTGCGCGTACATGAGTCTGCGTTGGTTTCGGGAGCACGCGCTGCGCGGACGTTCGTAGCACGCGGCCGGCCTCGCGGAATGCAGGGCCGTGTTCCTGTACGTGGCTGGGCGCGAATGTCCTTGGTGGGCTCCTTACCCTCCGACGAAGGCATCTATGCACCACCGCCGTGCCAGGCCAGGGCCATCCTGGGCCCTAGGATGGCGTGTAGACCCTCCTGGCCTCGGTCAGGACGGGGTATACACCATGCCAGGGACAGGATGGCCCTGGCTTGGCACGGTGGTGGTGTATAGATGCCTTCTGCGTATGCCCCCCTCCTCCTCTCCGCTGCCTCCTCCTCCGCCTCCTCCTCCTCCTCCTCCTCCTCCTCCTCCCTCCCCCTCCTCCTCCTCCTCCCCCGCCTCTCTCCTCCTCCTCCTCCTCCTCCTCCCCTCCTCCTCCTCCTCCTCCTCCTCCTCCTCCTCCTCCTCCTTCTCCTCCTCCTCCTCCTCCTCCTCCTCCCCCGCCTCCTCCTCCTTCTCCCTCTTCCCGGCGAGGAGCAGGCCGCTCTGGCGGAGCCGCCCGCGTTCGCGAGGGTGGTCCGGCGGCACCTGCGGGAGCAGAGCCTCAGGCCCCTGCGGGAGGGGGCGGCCTCTGCCGGCCGCGCGCCGCCGCGCCGAGGGACGTCGGAGAGGCAGGCCTGCTGCCTCGAGGCAGCGGCGGCCCTCCTGGGCGCCTGTCGTCGCCACGGTGGGACCCGCCGCGAGAAACGGGTCAGGTCAGGTTCAGTGTCGTTGAACCGGCCCCCATCCCCTCGGCACGAGAACGGAATGGGTACGGAAAGAATGGGTGCCATGCCCAACAGCAGTTCCTGTTCATGTTGAACAGGACTCGCTGTCCGCGCCGCCGCGGCCTGTGTCCACTTGAGACAGAAAGCCGCTTGCCCAACACCGGCCGCTGCTGGTTTGGGACAACATTTGTTGTTGGGCATTGTACCCATTCTTTCCGTACCCACTTTGGGCGTCCAAATCCCTATGCCCATCCCCATCCGGCCCCCCACCATCTTAGCACCCCAGTTGGGGATATGCCCTTGGAAGCCCGAAGGAGACGGGCTGGATTCCCATCCAGGGGGGTAGAGCAGCCAGTGGGGCTCAGGCCACGCCCATGGGGATAGGGATCGGTTGAACGATTCCCAAGGATGGACCTGCCGTTTTTCGTCGCCGCTGTGGGACCCACCTCGAAAAGCAGATCAGGGGATGGATTTCAGCAGGGCTCATAGTTTTCGCCTTCTCCGATACGATTCGTTTCGGCTTCGAGGGCTTCAATGCCGACTCGATTCGGCTTCGGATCCTGGTCTGGATTCCGATTTCTCAGGTGAGGCCTACTAACCTGCCAATCTCCGCCTATTCGGCTTCTCCCGACTCTGTGTGATTTGAGTCTCGAGGCGAAAGGTTTGGACAAATCATCCTATCTGTATGCGAGACTCCCTGAGCTTAAGTGTTTCATGAGGGGTGTGCTGTCCATAGGGAGGGGTCGTACCATCTTGGCTCAAAACCCAATCGCTATATTCTCTCCCTGTACTTTCCAAGTATCTACCCTACCATTTCTCCTTCACTTACCATTGCAGTGTGTGTACTGTGTGACTGCGGCGGCCTGGTGGTGACAGAGGGTCTCAGACATTCGTATCCTCATCGCCGTCGTCCATCGGGCGACAGTGGTAGCGGAGCGTGAAGCTCCAATTCCGCGGACCATGACGGCAGCAGCGGCGACGACGGATGATAATTTGGAGTCGCCCCCCTGGCCGAAGGGGGGCAGGTACCGAACGCACCGACAGCGGTGAGAGAAACTCGCGTGGGGCAGGGTCTCGACACCGAGGCGGCAGAGCGACTGTCTCAAGGGTTTTGTCAGCGGTTTCGGGAGTTCGAGGCGACCAACGGCGACGAGGACCTCCAGAGAGGTTCGACGTCGAACAGTGGGGCGCCGAGTGCCCAGCAGCAGCAGCAGCAGCAGCAACGGCGGGAAGATCCGTGGCAGCAGAAGGAGCACGACCCGTGGCGCAGCGACTGGAGTGAGCAGCTGACGGGCAGCCCACCATCTGGTGTAACGTCCGGGGCCTTTGGCCCGGCCCGTCGGGGACGCACCACGGCTCGGGCTCCGACGCCTGGCACTGGCAGGGCTGGCACCAGAGGGGCACCTGGAGCCGGAAGGAAACCGACGACGTGTGGGATCAAGCTACGGACACACGCTCCCGAACTGGATCGAGATGGGACTCCGGCTGGCGCGCTAGATACGATGAGCCCGTTCACGACACGCGCAATTCCAGTGACGACCAGCCGAAAGGAAAGGACTGTGCGGATCCAGAAAAGTTTGACAAATCGGCGAGTTACCGCATGTGGCGCCGAAAGATTCAGAGATGGCGTCGCACGACGGACATCGCATTATGGAAGCAGGGAGATCGGCTGTTCAAGTCGCTGGACGCCGACTTCCAGAGAAAGCTGGAGGACATCTCGGACGACATCCTGTGCAGCGACGAGGGCGTCGATGCCATCATAGAGCGCCTCGACCTGATGTCGGGAGTGCGCCATGGCGATGAGCGGCGCAAGGTCGCGAGAGAATGTCTGTTCGACTTCGCGCGCCAGCACAACGATAACCTCGCGGAGCACTGTGCACGAATCGACACGGCCTTCGATCGAGTCAGCGATGCCGGGCGAGTGGAGGCTCATGTTCCTCGAAGAAGGCGTCGGCCTGGACCAGCAGTCGGCGCAGCTGGGAAATATGCCCATGAAAGAGAGAGGACCTACCACGCGGCTTTGGCCGCCATCCGCGAGATGGACATCAGTCACCGAGGGCATCTGCAACGGCGACTCCAATGGCACGGCCTCGGTGCAGACGCAGCGAGACGTTCCTTGACCTCCAGTCCCTCCATCGTCCTGGCAGGTGCAGCGCGGCGCCGACGTGGACTCCTTCATCGACTACTCCGTCGTCTCCTCCATGGGCTCAGAGGGTGAGGTGGCAGCGTTTGCAGCGCCGGGGGCGGCGGGTGTTGGAGAGGAAGGATGACGTTCCAGAGGCCCTGGCAGCGATCCGCCAGGAGCGTCACAAGACATGGGGGATAACAGGGATCTCAAGAGGCGTCTCAAGGTCGACAGGGGGTTCTTTGACCGCTCTGGGGCCCGCGGCGGCGATGGGCGCGAGAGGCCTCGCAGGCCTGGTCACGGAGCGGCGGGCGGTGCCTTCCGACCGCGCAGGAACCGACTGCCGTGTGCTGAGCTGATCAAGCGGACGAGGTGCCGCCTGTCACCAGCAGGGACATTGGTCGAAAGGGGGGCCCGGGAGAATCGAGCTCTGGCGGCGGCAGTAGGTCGCCCCAGAAGCTTGAGCAGGGCTCCTCGCATTTCGCGGGCTTCAGTTTTACGTGCGTGAACGCGCTGGGCGTGCCTGCTCCTCTTCCTGCGCCCTCGTGTGCCGCTGGCCCCTTGTCCGTGGGTCCCCGGGCCGTGATAGTGGGCGCCGCGGCCTGGCGAGGTCTCGTGGGCGCACCAGCCTTGAGCAGGATCGAGCGGCGCCGGGCCTCAGTGGGGCTCGCCATTCCCAGGGTGCCCCCTCGAGGGCTGCGGAGTAGGTGGAGGCGTGCGGGTTTCGTGCGCGGCCCTGATTCCTTTAGGTGTCGAGGGCTGCATTGGGGTCATCGAACTGGGCGTTCTTGAGGAAGACGCCCCCCCCCCCCCCCTCTCCTGCCCATTGGTTTCAGGAAGTGCTCGGAGGCATCGTGGATATCCCAGGTAGCATGATGAGATTTACCAGGCTGGGGATTGATGCAGAGTTGACTCGTCTTCCTTTTGCTCATCGCACGGTTCAGGTAGACAAGTTCGGCAGGGCAGCCGATTTTGTGTCGCCCGATTCTGTCTTCCGAGCGCGCCCGCAGCTTTCGGGGGATGCGTTTCAGGCGAGGGGTGGGTACAGGACCTCTCCTCCCTCCACCTTCCTCTCGGCTCCCGCGGCTTCCAAGGATTCCGCGCGCAGGGGCCCGTCAGGCGCCAGGCTGGGTCGCCAGGGGGGTGGGGTGGGGGGGGGGGCATTTCCGCAGCTGCTGGGGGGGCTTGGGAGGTCCCAGCGTGGCTTGGAAGTCCTTGCGGGTTTTCTGCGGCGCCTATAAGGGGCCTCGACGGGGGCTCTGAGGGGCCCGGGGGGCGCGTCGGATCTAGGTGAGATCGACCAGGGGACTCGACCAGGGGAGAACGACGCTAAGGGATGTCGGGGCTCTACGAGCAGCGCGGGTACATCGCCAGCATGGGGTGCATCATCGGGGCCCCGTCGAGAACCTGCAGCACTGGGGCTCAAGTTCTTCTCGGGCCCGAGCCAATTCGACGTTGACCTCGGCCGGCGCTCCGAGGAGGGCCATCTTCTGAACAGAAGTGATGCCACCTCGTCGGGCCAAGGAGGAGAGACCTTCCACGATGGCGGACCGGATGGCCAGCCAGCCCGACCAGGCGTGGGCGTGCGGGCTCCCCAGGGGGCATGTCCTGGAGGGTCTGTGCAAGGGCTTGCGGGGCTGGGCAGCCATGGCGTCCTACGTCTTGCTGCGGGGCGCGCGTCTTTCGGAGGAGTTCGGGAACCTGGTGCGAGCGCGCCGCATCTGGCGCGCCAATCTGCTGAGAAAGCTGCGTCGCCTCCCAGTGGAATGCTTCGGGTGATGGCACCCTCCGACGCTGGTCAGCTGCGGAGCGAACTCGTGCGGCCGGTGGTTCACGTGCGTTCGGCGCACTTTAAGGGTGTGCTACCAGGAGATGATGCCCACCAATGGGGGCCGTGAAGGAGGAGAAGATGTGCCTGTGCAAGAAGAAGGGTGCGGCGTGTCTTCTGCGTGGCCAGGGATGCTCTAAGCATGAGGGCGAGGCCACTTGGCAGGCGCTCATCCCAGCGCCCATGCCTTTGCTGAGAACCGAGCGGAATCCAATGCCGACCCTCCCGGGCATGCCGAAAGGCCCGGGGCTCGCCGACGCCGAGGGTGGCAACGACAACGGGTCCTGGGGCTACCAGAGGGCGGCGAGCTCGGCGGCTGCCGCGGTGGCGACCCTCTCGAGGGGCGAAGCCTTTCAGGTGGAGGTGAGGGCGGCTCAGAGGCAGGCCGAATCGTCGAAGCGCAGGGCCGAGATGGCCGACGACCAGATGGAGGTGGAGGACCCGGCGCAGCAGGAGGTCAAGACGAAGCTCCAGCCCGAGCAGGAGATGCAGGGCAAATTCGAGATGCAGCTGGAGGAGATGAAAGGTCTCATCCCCAGGGTCGCGATGAGTCAGCAGGCCCAGGGCGAGCTCATCGCGAAGGTCAACTCCGCGGTGAACGAGCAGATGACAGCGTTGGCCACCATCCGGGGCGAAGCTCAGGAGGCGAGTCGCCTGGCCCGGAGCCTGCAGGACGCTGCGAGTAGCGTGGCAGGCCGATCGCCAATGCGAGCAGAGCCAGAAGCCGCTGCAGTCGCAGGTCCATTCGCTGACGGATCCGCCAGATCTGCTCTCAGCTCCAACGTCGGCACCTACGTCGTCGCCAGCTCCGACACTGATGCGGCCAGCAGCGCAGCCTCCGCCACAGCTGCCAGCCGGCCCATCAGCGGGGGGCGCGAACTGGGCCTA